GCCGTTTGGTTCAGTGTCTCCTCAGCGGGGTGCAGCTGGCGGGCGGCTGCCTCGCTCCTACCGGCCGGCTGGGGCATTTTTTTAATTTATTTATTTAATTTTTTTGAGTCTGCTTTGCCTCGTGGGCCAAGTGATGTGAAGCTGTGAAATCCCCACAGCGTGATGGGAGGGGGTTTTAGTTGGACACGTTACTCCTGTTAGGGGGATGAAGGTGGGCAGATGCAGGAACATTTACTCTCCGAGTTGTACCTTTGTAGCTGTTTAAACCAAGAAGTTATTTTGATATAAAACATCAATATGCATACCTCTGGGTTTGTTTTTTTTTCTTTATTTGGTAATTCGCAGTGAAATCTCATAGGAAGTAGAGGCTTACACATTCTTTTTAGACAAGGATATATTTATTATGTTTGTACTGATACTCTCTAGTTTCTGAAAATCAAGGGCAAAGACGGCTGAGGTAGTCAGGCATAGCTGCTGCCCTGAACAACTTAAAGCGATGCGGAAGAGTTGCAGCTTCCTTGGCCTGCAAGTTAAAAGTTTCATTCTGTTAGGAGCTTGTTTAGTCATTGAATTTTAATAACTACGGGGAAGAAAAATGGTGTGTTTTGAAACTGCTTTGTTTTAGACTTCAAATATTTACCATCTGAAGCAGTAACATTTGTAATTAGATAAACATAACAAAGTAACAAAGCTTTAAGACTTACTATGCCAAAGCTTGAAGCAAATGCAGCAATTAACATTTCAAGATGTCTAAGCTGAGGTTATTTTTATAGCCTTTTTTTTTGAAGTTCACAAAGGAAGACTTTCTTCTGTCATTTTGTGTTTTAATCATTTGCTGCACTGTAATTAAAGATACTAACTTTCAGGTTTATCTGTTCTGTGCTATTATAGAGTAAAAAAAGAATTTCTAGAATATATTTAAAGTAATAAATTATCTTTACCTAGGTAGCTGCCAGTTTGCAATGGGTCTTAAAACCATCTGGAAGGACTACAAAGTTCTGATTGTTATGGGAACTGGCCTTGGGCTGGTGCACTGGGGGTGGTTTTACATCAAGTCCAGTCCTATTTTCCAAGTGAAGACAGAGGATTTTGTTCCAGAACCTGGGATTGTGGCATACGTGATGCAAAGGGATCACAAAAATAAAGAAAAATAGCAGTAGTGCTATGTATTGTGGGTAAGTTACCTAATTGGTTGTATCTGTATCTTTGAGGCAGGAGGCAAGTCAATTAAATGAGAATTTTCTACCAGATGCAGTCTTGCAGCTCAAACTTTGGTATTCCAGAATTTTATTCTTTTTTCTTTTGCAACTGAGTTAATCTGGTAGTTTACATGGACCCAAAAATGCATCCTACACCTCAAACTACTGCTAAATCCCATGTGATAGGATCAATTAAGTAATGGTATTATAGGTCTTAAAAGATATTTAAAAACAAACTCCAGTAACTTCAAAGCAATAGTAAAACTCTCATGACTGGGTCTGCAGAAGTGTCTTTTCAGGTTCAAAAGTGCCCAGAAATAATTGTGACTTTATGTAGTAACATATTCTGTGTTGTTATTAGGGATGGTGATTACAATAGAAAAGAAACTGAAGTAACAGAAGTCTAAATACTGTACATTTACATTAAAATGTAAATAAATACCCCCTTAAGTTTTGAAGTGTTTCAAAACTGAAAAGAAAATGTGTATCTTGGGTATGTTGAAGTAAGAAACACTTCTTTCAGAGGCAGAGATTTCTTAAAGTTGTTTGAATAATAAAAGCTTTTGTTTCTGAAGTGATTGCCTGGGAAGCAGTGCCGCATAGTTCAGTTCTTTTGCTCTTGAATAAAAACAGCTTAACATCACTACAGTTTTGACACATTCATATGATTAAGTGAAGTTTATAGTGGTCTGTTAGGTGTAGACCTACAGGTAAAACAGTATATAAACTGGTGGCCAGAATTGAAGTTATTAACAAATATATGCATACTATATGTTTGTATTATATATAATGTTAATAGGTTTTCTCAATTAAAAAGTATTATGGGGGTTTTTTTGTCCTTATTTGAGTTTTTTGTGAAAAATCAAATAGCAAACTATGCAATAAGATGATCCTAATACCTTTCTGGTTTATATTGTAGGTATTACTAGCACTGAAGCTTTTCATCTGTGAGTGTTTCCGGAAGAAGAGATGAAGAAAGCTAGCTGGAGTAGAAAGAACTTTCTGCTTGTGGCAGGACTGTCACTTATAGGTGTCCATTTTGGAAGCATGCTCGTAAACTTTGTTGCAAAAAAATCTGTTCGATCACACTCAGAAGCTAAAAAGGAAGATCGTCATGAATGAAATAGCTTACTGCTGTCACTATGTATCGGTTTCACAATAGGATTTAAGCCTCATTTTAAGAAATAGATCACAGGTAGTCAGAGGAATGTCATTATTGTACTGTAAGTATTGTTTCACATTTAAAATAATAATCCTTAGCTGCAAAGAATTAAAATGTACTACTTTAAACTTTACAAGTGCTGTGAATTATAGATCCAAGTAGAAATGAAATCTGTCTTGTTGGCCAGAATTAAAATCTTACTTTGAAAATGTCTCGTCTTGAAGCCAAAAAGCCTCCATTATTTATTAGTGAACCTTTAACTAAAGATGCAGTTAGTCAGTCACTGTCTCTGCTAAGTGGATTATTAAAATCTTGCTATGGTCCTGCTGGTAGACTCAAACAGCTCCACAATGGTGTGGGAGGCTATGTTTGTACAACTTCACAATCTTCAGCCATATTCAGTCGTCTTTCTGTCAGTCATCCTATATTAAGGGTTTTGACGGCCTCTGTACAGAACCATGTATCACGCTTCAGTGACTGTGGCTTATTTACAGCCATTCTTTGCTGCAGTTTGATTGAAAACTTTAAAAGCCTAAGCATTGCATCTTGCACTGTCATTAAAATAAGCAAACATCTTTTGAGTTTATGTATGGACTACCTCAAATCCGAGGTGTGTGGTTGTCGAGTATCTGTGGATTTTTGCAGTCTTGAGACTCTTCGTTGTTTGGTACATAGTATATTAACAAGCAAACCTGCTTGCATGCTGAATAAACCAGAAGTTGATCATCTTACTACACTGATTTTAAAGGCTTTTATGTTTACTGTTCCATGTCATGTTGAGACTAATGCTGTTTTAGGAAAGTGTATAATAGTACCTGTGAAAGGTAGAAGAGTTTTGGATTCTACAGTTCTTCCTGGAGTACTGATAGAAACACCAGAAATTCAATTGGCAAAACCACTTACTGTCAAAAGAAGTTGTTCAAACATGATCAAGATAGCACTTTTCTGTGTGTCCATGTCAGGAGACCTCTTCAACCCTGAAGAAGGAACTATGACTGTCCATCATGGAATTTCTCTAGAAATGTCAGAGCTGAATCAATTACTTAATGTAGGAAAGCAGCTGGTTAGTGATGAGGTTGGCCTTGTAGTGTGCCAGAAAGTTATCCATCCATCCTTGAAACAGTATCTGAAAGAGAACCACATCGTCGCTGTGGACAGAGCCGGGCTCTCTCTGATGGAACCCCTGAGTCAGATGACAGGTAACAAGCTGGTTCTCTGTACTAAACAATTGTCCTTAATGTTCATCTCGTAACGAAAACCTATCTAGGTTGGTGTCATTGCAGAGTAAGGGTTCTCTTATTTCTGTCTGTATCCCACCTTAGCAGCTGAGCGTGAGTTCATTTCTAGTCTGAAAACCATTTTTTAAGGTGAGATTGGTCTTTTGCAGGTTCTAATGATGACAAACAGCACATGTGATTAGACTGTTGCATGAGGAATATCCAATTATAGTAACTGCTTGCAAATGTAGATTATTTTCAAACCCTTATCTAGTGAGAATAAAACAATCACTTTTTTATCTTAAACTATCACAAAGTCTTGTACTTTGAAAACATGTTGGTTTCTGTTTGTGATTTCCTGTGTAGATTGAAATGTTAGGTATTGAAGAATACATATGATTTAAAAAGCCAAGAGGAAGAAAGTTCATACTTTATGAAATGCAACAGATAGCTGTTCTGATGACAGTAATACATGTTGTTCTCTGCTTTTCTTAATTGGACAGGTTCAAAGCCTATAGGTTCCATACATTCGGTGTCCCCCAGTTCTTATGGCAGTTTGAAAGATGTGTGCATTGAGAGTTTTGCTTCAAAGCATTTTGTGCATCTAATTCCTAATGACACAGTTGTCTGCAGCTTGATACTCTGTAACAGAAATGAAACAGCATGGGATGAATTGAAGGTAGGCAAATTTTCTTGAAATTATTTTTGAAAAGTCACGTTTTTATGAAAAAATAGTTATGAGAAATATAGATACGGGGAGTTTAGAAAAGTGATTTTTCAGTACATAAATGGAGCTTGGTTAGGGTTTAGGTATACAATTTCAAGAAAGCAATTCAGAAAGGCCCTTGTTTCCAGAATATCAAAATCCTTGAAGTGCTCGTGGTCATTTAATGCTTCTGTTTTAATATGGGAAGTTGTTTAGAGACAGAAACATTTTTCACTTGTGCTTGGGACCAGTGCTGGATAAACGTTTTCATTCTTATTTCTTGGTTTATGAGAGCATAGAGGAAAAAATTGCCCAGCAAAAAGCCAGCAGCAATACCTGCAATGGTAATACAGTAGAGTTGTGTATTGAAGAGTTGCTCTAGAAAGGTCATTAATACTGATTGGCTTTTTATATATAACTCTTGTTTTGCAGAAAGAAGGAATAAAATAATGCTTTTTTTTATTTCTGCTTTTCCATACTAAGTGTGGACAAATAAAGACAATTTCTCATTAAGTGAACGTGGTTTTGGAAATCACTCAGCAGCTTTATATCCACATGTAATTCAAGTTTATGGAGTCTGTACTAGAAACTACTGAAAATTTTATTTCGGTAGTTTTTTCAATAGGGACAGATTCTATTAATCGTGGTATATCTAATGGCAAATTCACATGATTTTCAGCGTGCCTGTGAAACTGCAGAACATGTGTTACAGTTAACAATCAAGGAACCTTTGGCATTGTTAGGAGGCGGCTGTACAGAAACTCACTTGGCTTCGTACATAAGACACAAGGTATGTAAGACAAGTGTTTTGTTTTAAAGCTGCTTGATATCCTTAGGAAACCAGAGTTTATGTAGAATCACTGCTACAGTTAAAACACTTGTCTTTTCTAGATCAAAGTTGCATTTTTGCTAACTACTAATAAAACAAAGGGGTCTATTTGAAGCACTTGGTGCTAATTACATCTTTCAGACTCATTAATACTATATTTGTACTTGTTAGTCTTTAGATATTTATTATAGTAAGTGCTTATTTTTTAAGTGTTAAAATAATGTGTAGAATTTTTATACTGAAAGTTAATCGTGCAGAGCTCAGCTTTGACTTTTCTAGAAATCTTTCCTATTGTGGAATAATTGTCACATGAACAATTTTTTTAGTTAACACTGAACCATCTGTTTAAAAAAGAGCAACGGTATGATATATGTTCGATTAAAATTATTTCTGCAAAACAGTGTTCTAATTTTCTGTTTTCCTGATTATTTTTTTTTTAGAGTTGTAGTCTGTCCACCAGCACTTTTAAAGATATAGATTGTTCTCAGACACAATACCAATTGGTTGCTGATGGTTTTTGCCGTTCCCTGGAGTCTGTAGCTTGCTCTCTGAATCATGATGATGGAGAAATCCTTACAGATGTGGTTTATGGACACTGTTGGTTTGTTCCATCAGGTTTTCCCTCTGTCTCTAACTTGTCAGATTTAGTTTCAAAATGTGGCTGTGGGATTAATGGTAACAGTGGGAATCTCAACTGGAGGCTTTTGCAAGGCCAATTTGGCTCTCCCATTATACAAGGCTGCCCTAAAGAGCCCTCAGGAAAGGTTGCTGACTTTCTGACATTGGACTGTTTTGCTGCAAAATGTAGTGGCCTACAAGTAGCTCTGGAGACAGCCAATCTGATTTTGGATCTCTCATATGTAATTGAAGATCAAAATTAGCTCTGATACTATGTGAATTGTGTTGCATAGCAAGGTGCTTAATTGTAAGCAGGGTACTATATAATGTGTTAAGATACTTTAAATGGTTAGAACATGGACAACAGACAGAAATTTTAAATCAAACAGCTGGCCATTAAGTACTCTTCTGATTATTAATCTACTGGGCCCTAAAGCATTTTCAAAAGTTTAGCATTTTGTTAGGAACTGTTAAATGATTAGCCAAATATACAGTGAATCAGAGTGACATAAGACTTAAAGTATTCAAATTAATGTATTCAAGGGAGTGAATGACACTTCAAAGATTGAGTTTCTCATGTCCTTCTAGGATATTTGAATGTTCTCCTTCAGTAAGTAAGTGCTGAATTTAAAGAGCCTGTGTGATATTCCCGCTGCACTAAGCAAAGTGTTGGATATTTCTGTTAGCTCTGTGGTGTCTTCAAAGGAAGGGGAAAATGAATTCACTTGCTGAGAAAACATATGTTAAGGATTAGAATTTATGTAGTCTCAGCAAAAGCTTTACACGTTCAAACAGACTTTTGTATTGCAGCAGAACTTTATCATGGGTATTTTTAATTTTGTAGGTAAAAAAGAAGGCTTTCTTTAGTAAATATCTTGAGCCACTTCTTTCAAATTTTGTTCTGAAGATCTTGTCACCATGTACTATATGCACTTTCATTTTCTAAATGACTGGAAGATTTTAATTCCTATGTAGTTTATTTAGCAAATTATTAAAACACAACTTGGAGATCTTAAGATAGCAGGTAGGTAATAGAAGACTTGAAAAGAAATGGCAGACTGTGTGGAAAAAAACTTTTGTAAAGTACACCTTGATTGTGTTCTGTGGAATACAGGACAGTTTATAAATCATGATGCTTCTATCATTTAAGCAAAGCTGCAAGAAAATGTCCCGCTTACCATTCAATTAACTCTTTGAATGTGCATAGCTTCTTTTCTTTTAATGAAGTAAGGCTTTAAGCTGCTCAGTCTTGTTTTGATCTTTAAATAAGGCTGTAGACTGAATGATCGAAACTTTTTTCATTTTCAGCTTGCATGCAAGATCAAAAGGGGTGTTACAGTTTCTTGCTTAAACTCATTTTCTTTGCGCCTTTTCTTCTCCCTCTTCATTTTCAGTCACAAGGGACAAATTGTTCATGACATGCTTTTCCAGAAGACATCCGAGTTACTTATAGACTAGTCTGCTTATGTTTCCTGGTCTCTTAAGTTTTTACTATATTTACTGAGTATAAGCAGTAGAATTGTTTTGTATAACTCCGTTTTGAAATATGTAATTAAAAACAAATCTTTCCAGACCTTTTGTACAAAGTCCTTTTCATTTCAAGAGCATAAATAATCATTTTCTCACTGGAAAAAAAATGAAAAGTTATTTTAAAGTTCTTTATCTTTTTATGACCTGAAATGATTGCTTCAGTGCTATAAGGCGTCCTTTGGGAATTTGTAGAAGAATGTTACAAGGGTTGAGATGGAGGCTGTTCAAAGCTGGTTACTAAAAAGGCTGCTTTCATATCTTGATCCTCCCATATACTGTGAACCAAATGAAAACATCAGGAATAATGAAGCCAAATGATGGTGTAATCTTAAAGCACAGAAGAATCTTGGTGATACTTCATCTAATTATGAGTCTCTAACTCAGTGTTGAATTAGAGTCTTTTGCTTCCTATAATAGCAGCTTGTTATGCAGTGCAAAAATATTGAATTTAGTGACTACAGCTGTGAAGTGAAAATTAAAACAATATTTAAGTAGAAGTAGTTGCTAGTGTTCTTTTGTCTTGGTGTGTTAAGGTCGGTTTGCAGCTCCTATAAAACTGTTGTTAGCTCCGATTCTGGGTCTTTTGGTTTGTTTTTTTCTCTCTGCCCCCTCACAGTTTTAAGAAAATCACACATTAGAATGTTTTTTTTTTTAGGGAAAAAAATATTAATTTTTGAGTGGATAAAAATTTATTTATACCTGAACCAAAGATTGTTTCACATATAGGTAGCTTTAACATTGAATTTTTGTCTCGTAATGTGACTAAAAAGGATAAATAAGCAGCTGGCACTGCTGCTTATAGGCAGTTCAAGTTCAGTTCTCAGTTGTGCCACAGTCTTCTTGAACCTTTGGTGGTTAGTGTTACCCTACCTTTAGTGGGTAACATAGGAGAAACACATCTTTGGATACTGTTTCAAATGCAAGTAAATAGATTTTCGGCTCTCTATCCCAGAGCAACAAAAATAACTTTGCTGAACTCCCATGTTTCCTGGTAAAACTTTGGTGCAAAACTGGTGGGGATTCCCCTCTGTGTTCTGAAATCAACAAAATTAAGTATTCCCAGTTGTAAGTCCTCTGAGAAGCCACTGTGGTTTTATTCCTGCTCTCCTTGGAATTTAAATTTTGTCCAGTGAGAAAAACTAGCATTACACAGGTATTATTAAGAGACAAGTGTTTTCTGATCATGACCTCAGTCATGTCTGTTGACTTCCACAGATTGCTCAGAAGCTATTAATTTAAATTTTAATAATTCTACTGGTAATGCGTAAGTAGTAAGAACATTAATCTCCAGCCTTCTCAGATGTGTTAGTGCTCCAGGGCTAGCGCTCCAAAAAGGAGTGCTGATACTATAATCACTCAGGTCAGCATATTTAAGTAAGATGCCAGTTTAATATAGTCACTCCTCAGTTCAGCATTTCAGTTTTCATTTGGTATTTCAGTTCCCGTGTTGTATTTAAAACTTCAAAGTGAAGATGACCTGAAAATGCTTATTATTTAGGTATCTTTAGTATTTCTATTTATGCATCGTATTTCGAGTACACATACTATTTGGTATTGGCAAAGAATGCGGAATACCTGCTTGTCACTGATTCTGCTGCTGATTTGTGAATTTGTAGAGTCACTCTGAGCTCTAACTCGAGTTAAGTCTTTTTCTGTCTATGTTCCTATCTATAAAATGGAAACGAAGATAACTCTTAATGCATGAAGATTTGTGGGTGAAGAGTTCTAAGTATGATCCAGATGTAAAGCAAAGAGCTACTTGCTGCACAGGAGCAAAGAAATAGATAATTCAAAACAAACTCAAATCCTTGCTAAAATAGGACATGTAGTCACTTCATTAAGGGAACGTTGGCCAGGATTTATGTAGACTCCTCCAACTAGTCTGCTAGGTAAAAACTGCCCTGTTCTCCCTTTATGTTGAACCTGGCTGCCTTTTCTTTTTCTCTGAAAGTTTGGCAATGGTGTGTTACTGTTGCTAGCATTAACCTAATTTATTGCCTTACATCTTTAGTATGCATACCCAGAGAAATGTGACCTTAAATTTTTTTGAATGCTTGAACTTCAAGATAAGCATTGTCAGACACCTCCGCAATCCTTACTGTACCATGTATACCTTTAGACTGTGCTCTCATCATTTTCAGACCAGATGTTCATATGATGCTAATTCTCTCCGCAATCCTTACTGTACCATGTATGCCTTTAGACTCTGTGCTCTCATCATTTTCAGACCAGACGTTCATATGATGCTAATTATTGAAGACAGGATAGAAACAGATTTATGAGTTTGGGAAGCCTAACCTTACTGTATTGGTAGTGTAACATATATTTTTATTTTATTTTATTTTTCAGAAGTGTTTGGGCATTTTTAGCCTAACCAGCTGTTATGTTACATCTGTCCGGGTAAGGGAAGAGAGTATTTATAGTTGTCTAAGCTTGTAAGAAAATTACTGCTTGGAATATCACAAGCACAGTAGAGCATGTACAAAAGAAGTCACCTTACCCAAAACTAGAACTTTTGAATTTTACTTGTACCCTTATTTAGGTATGAGCAGCAAAATGTAGTATTTGTCACATTTTCAGCAGTGCCACGTGAAGTGACTCATGTAAGTACTACACTATTCAATCTCGGAAAAATCAATATGCATGAGTCAGTCAATGTCATAGGAAGAACTTTTTAAGCTAGATTTGCATTTACTACTGTTCTGAAGATGCAGAAACAATCTTTTTTTTTATTGCAAAGAGACTGCCTCCAGCATGCTTATATCTGTGCAGACAGGCTTTTTGAGAAGTCAGTTGGTAGTCACATTACAATGTTTATTTTGATAATTTTAGTACCTTTTATCCAGTAATGTAAATACAAGCTATTTCTACCTGCTTGTCAGCAGAGACAAATTGTTCAGTACTAATAAATAACTTTTTGGCCAGTAACACTGTGATCTTAAATTCTCAGTTAAGAAATACCTTTAGTTTTTGTCTAGATACATTGCACTGTATAAATTAGTCGTACACATTATAAGGTCAAAGTACATACAGGTTTATTCTTTATGCTGGAATCAGAAATGTAGTCACAGCATATGTAGGTAGAGCCACCATGTCATTAGTCCAGACGTCAATAAAATTAATTGCAGAATAGGTTCCAGGATTTGGCTGGGCACTTTATATCTTTAACTGTGCTGACTTCCATTATTCTTGACTTAGATTTACATTAAACATATATAATTATCTTGTAGACATACCTCCTGTAGTAAGGTACGAAAATAAAATTCTGCAGACATCTTTATAAACTTGAACTTCCAAATCTGCTAGTACATGAAAACCTTTTATTGAAGCTTTCATCGTGTGCCTTGAAGGCCACAGCTGTGTACTGTCTGGCTTCTGCGGGCAGATTAGTGGTGTCTTTGTTATTTTCTGCCCTGACAATATCAGCTCTCTTCAGGTACACATTAAATACTAGCTGTTTATTATTATAACATTATTACATGTTGTCTGCTAAACATTCCTGTGGCAGCATACCACAACATCAACAGCTATTCCTTATCAATAACTTTCTTTTTATAAACCATTAAGTCTTTTTTATAAGTAGAGAAGCTGATTCACCTCTCTTTAATATTTAAAAATCTTTAAAATCTTGGTATCTTCTCCCTTAAGGCTTATGATATTGTTAGTCTGAACTGTTACACCTGGTGAGTAGTGGGGAAAAAGGAAAGGAAGCTTGGGGGGGAAAAATTAGTTC